CACCGACAAATCTTTATTGTGACTTTTTTACTCCATCTGTTTTGGATATCTTGTTGTCCCTTTGTGCAACTAACCGTGTAGGAATTGATTCCATGAAGCAAAGTTTACCCTCAACTCCAAGTACGATTGCTACAACTCTTCACCAACCTAGGGAACACATCAAATTCCATGAAGGAGAATGTAGGGTTTTACCTCACCATATGAGCCCAAACCTGGGTACCTCCCCCCTCCCCGTATGAACTCCCCTCTGGTACTTATGACTATTCTCGCTACCCTACCGAGGGATCAGACGATTTTCTGCACTGTCATACATCATGAGGGTCGCCTGAACAAGAGTGGCTCTACCAGCCGCCCAGATGAATCTCTTCTACCATGGCATGAGCTTACCCGCGACTTTTGTTAATGTGGCATTGAAAATCAATCTTCCAAAGGGGGTGTACCGATAGGGGGAATCATAGATATTTCATGGGGAAGGTGGAACATGTAACCAGAAAGCTCTCAAGGACCTAGTCCAGGTCGATGTGGACCCATCTTATCGGAGCGACGAGGATTTTCTTTAAATTCGGCACAAGCCCGGCCATTTCCCCCAAGCCGACAAGAATGGAACAATGTATGTGTTGGCGAAGAAATCATATACTCCCTCCGATCCAAAATAACTGAGGTAGCCTCTATACAATACATCATCTTGGTTGTTGCACCATGACGCTCGCACAAATGAACTGTAGCTATAGGCAAACTACTCGAGCACTGGGTTAACAAGATCAAGTCATGCAGGCTTGTGTTTGGAAAGTGCGGTTGGATTCCTAAGCTACCTAATTTCTTGAAGAATCTCAGTCGTATTTCTAAGCCTTAGATCACATTCAGCCATCATTATCTAGAAATTACTTCACACATATATGTGACCTGCACACACAAAATTACAATAGCCCCATTCTACTATAGTCACGCTAAAAAGGCAGCCTAGCTCACATGGTTAGGGAAGTGCGTATACGGACACAGACCATAACTTAAGTCCCTCTCAGCCATCCATTAAAGATCCGACGTACCAGATTGACACATATTTCGAACGGAATTTTCTTAAGTGTTCAAAAAAATTGAAAAAAATTTGAATAAATCATAAATGTTTCGTTTTGTAGTCTGTGAAAATTTCAATCCATTTGGACGTATCGTTTGTGAATAAACTTTATTTATTTATTTGAGCTTAGAAGGTTGTTAAATCACAAAAGCATACATCCAAATGGGTTGAAACTTTCTCAGAATATAAAAGAGGTAATATCTCCCGGAGTCACATGACTTGCGTATGATGTTCATTTTGATGCTAAAACTTTGAAAGTACGGATTTGTGGTTATTCAACTCGCGTTCTCGTGCAAATACGGTGCTTCCTCTCACATCTAGTCGTATGGCCAGCTCACATGGTGTGCCAACTTGGCGGAGGCCCACTTGCCCGTGGCTAAAGTACACACGGCGTTGGGTGACTATAGCATGCAGGATTTTTTAGAAAACCCCCTTGCAATTTGTTTAATTGTGCACAAAAGGCCTCAAATATAATGAAAAAATGGGACAATGAGGTTCAAACCCATGACCTGTTACTAAAAGGTAGGCGTACAACGATCACACCAGCCCCGGTTCACGTTGAACATCTGGAACTAAACTTTATTTAACAATACACAAAAAGCCGATAAATAGGCCCATATGTCTAATGGGATACTAACAACGGGTTAGGCTAAACATGTAATTAAGCTAATTTACGCAGGGCCCATCCGTCCGTGTGTTAGATTGAAGTTTGGTCGCATGGATAATTTTGCAGAAAAATAGGGGAACGAACGGAATCAATTTCTTGACTTCAAGCGTGTTAGTGCACGAGCCAACCACAACACCAAGTACATGTTACTACCCACAAAGAGGAACATTTAATTATTTTATATTTTTGCAATGACGACTACTCATATTCCTGTTTTTCTCTCTCGGACCGAATTTCTGATAACTTATTTAAACTTTTTTGTCAAACTAAATACTTTTAGATGTTAAAAAATGAAATCAAAATTCATTTCAAAATTTTAGGCAAAAAAACTAGAATTGTTGAGATATTTTGAAACCCGGATTTTCCAGCCCCTTCCGAAAAAAAGGGAACAAAAAAAATCGCTTGCAGAAAAGTTTTGTACATAATAGATTAAACATTATATATTTTCCCCTCAAAAAAGGAAAAAAAATTTATGTTTTGACGGCTTTTCTTGGCCCAAAAAGGCAATATTTTCTGGAAACCCAAGAAAAAAGGAGTCTAGAAAAAGAAGTACGTACATTGTATATGAGGTCAGGAGTTCGAATAGTCATGAGTATGTAGTCGGTGTAGTTGTTAGCTAGTGTGTGCACTGTATATAAGGTCGGGAGTTTGAAACAAAATTGTGCATGCCGCATAGAGCAGCTCTAATCACTAACAGGGGGGCCGTAGCCACGTTGTCGTGTCACATAAGCGCAGGATACGTCTGAATACGAGCGAAGTGACTGTATTTACACGAGAACCCAAGTTAAATGACTATAAATCTGTATTTTTAAAGTTTTAGCACCAAACTGAATGTCGAACGGTTCTGTGACTTTCGGTGATATTACCACAATATAAAATGAAACATTTATGATTTATTGGATTTTTTTTCAAATTTTTTCTGAACACTTAAAAATTCAGGTTTGGAAAATGGGTCAATCTGGTACGTCAGGTATTTAATGGATGGCTGATAGAGGAACGCTAAGTTATGGCGAGACTTAACATCACGAAGCCAGAAGCTGCGTCCTGCATATACAACCCAGCCTCCCAGGTTCAAGTCATCTCAAATGCGAGTTTGTGTTCTTATAGAAATGGCAGAATTGTATATCTCTTTTTTCAGCAAAGAGAGCAAAAAAATTACGTTGAAAGTGGAGGATCAAGATCCTTGGATACAAGAAGGTCCCTCAGCATACTGTTGGTTGGTCCACAGGGAGTAGTACAAGAAGACCCTTGAATAGTCGCACGCACCCCCACCGGCCACACTGACACTGCTGCGTACTATCTCCGTCCAAGATTTTCGAGCTGCCATATGCACAAACATAACAGCTCAGGGCCCCTCTCCTCTCCTCCGATCAGTGTGAGGCAACTATTCATGCCATGTGACCTTGCTGAGAACCAACTGATTACATGCACCCCCGAAAGAAAAGAATAAGAAAAATACCACCACAAAACAAAACAACGCCATGATTGATTGACAAACAGCGGGCAATGCCCCCGAAGCCCAGTAGGCGCAGCAGTGCGGAGACCACATCGAGATCTACAAACGGCACACATTGCATGGCTGCCATTCTCATCAGGATGACCGACGATTGCAAATAGTTATCACAACTGAGATCTTCGCACAACTAAATGTCATTTCAGGTCACATTTCGTCGGCTGATACACAAAAGAAGAGCTAACTCAGAGCTCAATATACTTGTAAACCTATTGACATTCCTACTATACACCAGGACAAGGTAGCAGCAAAAGCTTTGGGTCTACGATTACTCAAAAGCAGAGGGCGAGGGAATAATACATAATTGAGTTGCTAAGGGAAGGGAAGAGCATTAATATCGGTTAGAGATGCTCTTCTTGTCTCGGTCCCAGGCAGCCCTCAAAGCGTCATAAGATTGTTGTTTCCTTCCAACCACTCGCTGCGAATCTTGCCGGGCTGGGCTGCTGTAGTCCTGATAATGCTGTTGATCATTTGCCTTTCGCCAGCTCCTGCTCGCAGAATCGCTACTTGGGGCCGAAACGGAGACGGAATCGACAACCATGTCGCCCTCGAGCAAGCGAAGAACCTAAAAGAAAGATATGGAAAAATGGTACAAGTTGCCAAAATTTAGTTTCCCAACAGGCATTTACACAAAATAACTCAAGGCCGAGCCCAGAAAGAACTTACATGAGACATGCGAGGCCTTGAATGAGGATCACGTCGTATGCACAGGTTTGCGGCATGCAACATGCAACGGACCTCATTTTCGCTGTATCGGTCCCCCAAGCATGGGTCTATGAGCTCGTCGACTGCATTATCCTCCAAGAGATGGCGTGCCTATCATACATAAAAACTTCATTAATACTCCAATCACACCGTGCACGCAGTTTTGACATAGCAGCACTAGCATTGTAGCCAACTCTGAAATCCTTGGGCATAAGTTTTATTAGTCAAAAAGACTTGATTGCGATTTCGCAACAAAAACTATGACAACTTGCAAGAAGATGGAGGCAATAGACCATATATCATTAACACCAACCTTAAGCGTGCTAACTATGCAAAAAGGAGTCGTCTTACAAAGAAACTCACCCATTCAGTTAGAAACTGTTGGCCCTTAGGTCGGCTAATGTCAACAGCCTTGCGCCCAGTGACAAGTTCTACCAACACGACACCAAAACTGTATACATCAGCCTTCTCTGTTATTTGTCCACTCTGCGCATACTCTGGTGCCAGATAACTGCAAAAGTCGCTAAGAATCATTGAGTGCTCCAAATTACTTAAGGTGACAAATTATTGGAAATTCCAGTACATACCCAAATGTGCCGATGACTCTTGTTTCAACACCCATGTCTCCATCGGGTTGCCATCGTGCTAGACCAAAATCTCCAACCTATCAGAACATGATTGAAAACATACAACCCTGTCAGGAAATTATATGCTTGGTGGTCATGCATAATACTCCCTCCGTTCCTAAATATTTGTCTTTTTAGAGATTGCAAATGGACTACCACATACGGATGTATATAGACATATTTTAGAGTGTAGATTCACTCATTTTGCTTCGCATGTAGTCACTTGTTGGAATCTCTAGAAAGACAAATATTTAGAGACGGAGGGAGTATAAGACTGGATAATGGCATAATTAAAAAAAAGGTATCTGTAAGATAATACTGGGGAAGTTAAACAGAAAGTATTGCAATTTAATCAAATTTACACAAGACAAGACGCTATTATGGTCTAGAAAAGTGCAGTTACAAGATAGGCCAACCCAATTAAGTATACAGAATGGCTTCATCCATCAGGCACACAAATTTAACATCATATCTGGAAAGACGTTCAATGCAATCCCAGAGGACAAATGCCAATTAGTAAATTCCAATAGCGCAGTCCATACCAGAGGTTCAAAATCATGTGTGACAAGGATGTTGTTTGGTCTCATGTCCCGATGGATAATGCAGCCAACTCTACATTCCTCGTGTAGATACCGCAACCCTCGAGCAGCACCAACAGCAATCTTTTGTCTAGCTGCCCATTCCAGTGTGTCTTTATTATTGCGACCTGAAAGATATTTCACAAACAGCTTAACAGGTAAACAAACATAGATTTATTGCAATATCACTAACTTTTGCTTGCTACTGGTAAAAGGCAGAACAACAATATGCATGTAATGAATACTAAGTGCCATAGTGAGCCTGCAGACTGGAAAATGTGTCTATACAGACATGCAAGAGAGAAAAATCATACCATAAAGATGTGAGTCCAAGGATCCATTGCAGATGTACTCATAAACCAGTAAACGCCTCCTTTCCTCAACACAAAAACCAATGAGCATTACAACATTACGGTGTTGTGCACAACTCAGAACTTCCACCTCTGAGCAAAATTCAACATCACCCTGGGAACTAGCAAGCTTATGTTGCTTGACAGCAATTGCCTGACCATCAGGAAGGACGCCTCGATGAACAGATCCAAATCCACCTTCAGCCAGGAAATTTGCCTGGGAGAAACCACCCGTTGCAAGTTCAAGTTCAGCGTAACTAAACCACCGAGGAGGTTTCCCAAACACAGGAGCCTTGTGCTGACATATCGAACACAATGGAGGCGGCCCAGGAGGTGCGCTCCTTGCTAACGAGACAGCGTCCCTGACATTTCCTCTAAAGTTTAAGTCTGATCTGCTTCTCATAGAACTTATTTCATGCAAAAGATCTAACTTGGAGATCTTCTCAAGCAAAGTATCTGCAGTTGGGGTGCGAGTTTTTCGTGGCGGTTTTGAGGATGCAGATCCCTGTAGAATTTCGACCATCCATGGCTGAAGCGAGAAGGTTGCTGAGGGACTCAATATTTCACTGTCGGTATCAGAAATATTGACATCCGAATGCTGGATCTTATCCTTTGTTGCTTGTACCTCTTTCTTTAGAGAAACAGTTGTTTCAGAAGCACAAAATGGAGAAGTCCCTGGATCTGAACTTGAGACTGAGGATGTTCCCGCTTCGGTACTTCCAAAAGGCGTCTCTAAGTCTGGGCTGCTATTTGGTGTTACAGCTGGTCCTCGAACTGAACTCCGCGGCTCCTTTACATCAGTTGCTGTTTTACCAACAGAACTATCCAACACTGCTGGAAGTGAACAGGATCCTTTGGACTCTTTATCGGGAGATCCCATAAGATTCAGACGGAGAACTTTAGGCTGAGAACGCTTCATGACAACAATGTTGCACTGTAACTCTTCCATGCAACGCTTCTCTTCATGCTTCAACTCCCTAAGAGCAGCAGCATGGGCAGCTAAGCAAAGAGAAAACACAAGATACCTGAACGTACAAAAGAAAATTACAGTAATAAGTGTTGATCATTACTTATCTAGCACAACCCAGCTTGCTTGTGCTCGCTTAGATTCAGCAGCTACGACACCAGGAGGAGATCCAGAAACAACCTTAACCTTAACGTTTATCTGCACAAATGAGAATCGTCATAAAAAAGATTGCAGTGTGTGATAGGAGTCAAGAAAACATGTACAGAAGCATTAACAGTGATCCTGATTAGCCTGCTGGCTACCGATTGTTATTCTGTCACTTCATCAATAAAGCTCCCATTTTCGTTTCGAAAAAAATATAAAGCTCCCATTTTCACCGCACAAAAAAAAACATGTACAGAAGCATGTACAAACCTTGCTTGCATCATAAACATCATGAAGTTTGAGCATCATTTGGGAACACAGCTCTGAGACATCTGACTTCTGATCCAACATGGTCTTATGGCCACTTGCGCAATCTCCCGCAAATAGAGGAAAGCCCCAGAACTTCCTGCCTGAAAGAGGGAAACCATAGTGCATTGAAGCCACTACCACAAAATTCAAAACTCAACCCAGAACTCGTGGAAGCTACTGGACAAAGTGCAGCAACTTCAGTGATCATGGTAACAGAAGAGTTTAGAGACCAATGATGGCAACCCATATATGCATTTAGCTGTGCAACTAATGTGCATATAGGATGCACTATTATAGCTAAGCCCCCAAAACAACACGGCAGTACAACAAAAAGTAGAAAAGTGCATTTGCAAAGGACGGATAGGATTGCAAGGAAAGGAAACAATACCAGAGCTCTGTGCCGGGATGACAACGAGGAGTATGATGCTGCCGCCGGGCTGCACGACGTGCGTCAAAGCCCAGACGATGGCTGTCTTGGAGATCTCCCTAATGGCAGCACGCACCGCCACCACCACCTTCTCCTCAGCAGCAGCAGCAGCCGGTGCGCCCTTGTCAGCCACGGCCTTCCCCTTCCTCTGCTGCAACAGCAGTTGCTGCTGCTTGATAGAGCTAGCCATCACCTCCTCTCCAGCGATGCCTACAAATCAAGAAGCTCCCCCTAAACAGCTGAACCACGGAAGTGCTGGCCAAACCCAAGAAGCAAACAAGTAGGGAGTAGTAATGCCTAGTGCAAACAACGCAACAACCAGCCCCAAGTGCTTAAATGCAGATGAGATAGGAGGAGCTACCTCCCTGACAGTTGCCAGCGGCGTTGGACACCGAACTCTGTTGAGAGAACCAAAAGGCAGCCAAAGACCAGTAAAGATGGCGGCAAGGCAGTAAAAAGGAGACGGCCTTTCCCCCTCAGCTGGGTCCCGGATTCTCGACGACCAAGCTCAAGCTGCTGCGGATTGAGAGAAAGATCGCCCACTTTATGGCTGGCCGCAGAGCGGGCGCCACTGCCGCCTGTGAATGTCCTCGCCTCCACTGTAGCCGGAATAGGGACACGGGGAAGGGGAGAGAGCTCCAGCTCCAGCTCGCTCTCGCTGTCTGGGATGAGACGACGAGGTGACCCCGCCTCCCCGTTGCGCCAAACCGGTCAGATTGCACAGTGCCGCCTCGTCCTCCCAGCCTACACGATTCCCAGCACGCCGTAGGAATCCCCAAATCATTGAAAAATCGTTCGAATCTTCGCACAGATCTCGCCGCGCTCTCCGCCTCGAAATTGGCCTCCACGACCACGAGTGGGACAAAATGGAGTCAGTTTCTACGGAAATTTCCCCATTCCACCATATGCAAGCAGATCTCCGACGCGATATTTGACTCGCATTGCCTTCCATAAACGAACACCTACTCTTCCCAAATACCCGGGAAACTTGCCCGCCATACCAGGGCGGAGTTCGGGGGCATCTGAACCGACGCGAATCGAAGCTATTCAATCAAAAACGAAAACGACAGCTCAATCAAAATGGGGGGAAGAGAAGAGACCCACCGAGAAGAGAAGACGAGGAGCGCCCGGCCCGACCCGCCGCCGGAGAAGACGACCAAGAGGAAGCTCCGCCTCGCGCGCTGCCGCCACTCCTACGACCTGGGTACGATGCGAAACCTAGGGCGCTATAGTGCCGTACGCGTGGGAGCGGGGGCGGGTGGAGGCGGTGGCCATTAAAGACCCAAGGAGCGCAAGCAATTAAACCTCCATTGCTGTGCGTGACGCTAACCTCTTCAGGCTTCAGTTCCTACTTCCTACTAGTGGTACCGTCGTTCGCCGTCCAGGAGTAGCTACCCGTTCTACCCTCCAGCCTTGGTCGCATTAACGGCGCTGCCACTCAAATGCAACGCGTTTGAAAACCGGTCGGCGTCGCCGGCCATCTGATTGGGATCGGACGGCCAAGGAGTCTCACAGGATTGAATGCGGCTCAGGGTGCTGTCTCGTGAGCAGACGGTCCCAGCTTCCAGGTGGGGACCACGCGACAGTGTCAGGCAGTGCACGGCCCCGGCGTGGTCCCGGTGCACGAGGAGGGCGCTGACATGGTCCTGGTGGGCCATCGCCGTCTCCTCCTTCCTACTCCTACAGGGTTGATCTGATTTCTGAACTTTTGCTGCAGTTTGGCGGAAAATTTCCCAGCCTTTTTACAGGCTTTTCTTCCCTTGGATGGATGCAGCAACCCGTAGGGGCTACCTTGTATAGGGACTTGCATGTTTTTTTGTGTTTATTGTGTGTTGTACTTTCCATTGCGATGTGATGTGAGAGCAGTGGTACTATCGACCAACGGATGCTATGGGTTAAAACAAGTAAAAGGTGACAAGGCTACGGGTTAAAACACTTTTTACGTACTTTTATCTACTCCCTTCATCCGAAAATAGTCGTCGGAGAAATGGATATATCTAGATGTATTTTAGTTCTAAATACATTTATTTTTATGCATTTATTCGACAAGTATTTCCGGACAGAAGGAGTAGGTGCAAAACGTTCTTGCCTTGGCCATCCGACTGGAAGAAAATGAAAACATGACCCAGGTAGATTGTTTATAGATGATATCACTACACTACAAGAATATTAATACTACATATCAAAGTTGTATTAGAGCTGCATTATTTAATTTGAATCAGAAAGAGTATTATATACTCTCTCCGTTCTTAAATACTTGTCTTTCTAGTCATTTTAACAAGTGACTACATACAGAGCAAAATGAGTGAATCTACACTCTAAAACATGTCTACATACATCCGTATGTAGTAGTCATTCAAAATGTCTAGAAAGATAAATATTTAGGAACGGAGGAAGTAGTACTGTATTATCTAAGTGAGCATGCAAAGAGCCGTGTACCGTTGGCGACGCCCAAAGATGATTGCAACCAACAGTTTGGCTATGTACGTAGCGTTTTAACAAATCAATTATCTACCTATGTGTCAGCGTGTGTAGTGTGTGTATAAGAAAATTGATGAGCTCCGGCTGTCCTTTGAAATATAACGCCGATGTCCCCAGCCAAGTGGTAGTGCCGTAGTGGTAGTACGTTTCAGACAATTCAGTGGCCCTCCGATCCGTAGTATAGTAGGTTTGTAGGTACGTGCAGTTAACCGTCCACATTGAATCAAGAATCATGATAGGTTTGTTCTTGTCTGTCTTGTAACACTACTTTGCACGCTAAACGTACAATATGTGTCCCCACCAAACCCAGCACCGAAGAGCCATCTGCGCAGTAACAACATCAACAAGAAATACTCACTATCCTTTCAAATTAAATACTCGCGACACATAAATGGACGTGTAGAGGATATCCAAAAAAATGGAGGTGTAGAATAGATTGACAGGCTCCTCCCCAAAGAAAAGAAAAGGCTAGGTTTCCTCCGTCTTCTGCCGACTCCGCCACCGGTCCGCCTTGTCTCGGTAGCCTTAGGGCCATGGCGGCGCCGGTGGATCTCGGCCCTTGCCGACGGGTGGGCTCCGTCTTTAGATGTTCCTTCAAGTTTTGTTAGGGTTTATGTCCCGTTCAGGAAGACGAGATGGCGGCGGCTTTCTGAAGATGAAATAAGGTTCTCCCGGCCTAGTCCCCGTTTCGGTGGTGCGTCTAGCATTGTCGGTGGGCGTGTGGAGGCGTGTCTCCGGTGGATCTGTCATTGGTGGATTTGCTCGGATCTTGTCGTAGTTCGTCTACGTTCGTGCGTCTTCAGGTTGGATCCTTCTGATATATGCTACTCTTCAACGACGGCGGTTGTTGTTTTGGTGCGTTGGCCCTATGGGGCCTTAGTACGATGACTTCCCGACTGTCTACTACAACAAGGTTTGTTCGGCTCCAGCGAGGGAGGGGCGATGACGACGGCGCGCTTTCGGCTCGCTTCAGTGCTTATAGTCGTTACTAGATGGTCTATGGATCTGGATGTAATTTTTATTATTTTGAGTATTCGTTGTACTATCATGATTGAAGATGAATAGATTATATTAGAAGTTTTTCGCAAAAAATGGAGAGATGACTTTTGGCCCCGAAGTTCTGATGGCTTCTTTACTTTATGGCGCATGCTACGTGTCGGTTAGCAGATTTTTTTAAAGATCTGCTCGGTCGCTGGTCATCCTATCTGCACATGTGCTGATCATCGCGTTGCTCGCGACATGTTCTTGTAACAAGAGTATTATTGCCAAAAAGCTATGTGGCTCGCGCAACAAGAGTCTTGTTCTTGCAATAGCAACAGGCCCTTGTTGCACACAAAAATTCATCTCAGCTCTAGGTCCCTTGTCATAATGCCATCATTCACCGCCACCTGCCGGATCCGTCTCCGGTGTGTTCTGGTGGAGCAGATCGGTGTCCGGGGGAAACCTTGGCTGCCTTAGGCTGACCGGCAGCGGCGACGCCGATTTTTGGCGCCGCTTTTCTCCTTGGGGGCGTTGCTGAGGGCACCATCTCTCCTCTCCAACCCATGTCCGGGTGAAAGCCCAAGATCCGATGCGGATCGGGCGTCGGCGGCGCCCTAGGCACTGTAACCTTCCTGGAGGCGACGCCAAGGACATTGGGATCGGATGGAAGGGTCTGCAGGTGAGGGGTGGGGGTGTGCTGCCTCCTTTCGGTGGAGCGGTGTTTCGTTCTACATATTCTTGGCGGCGGCTCTTGGCGGCATGGAGCAGCGGAGGCTTGGCGTCAGATGTGTGGTGACGGACACGCGCAGGAGGTCGACGCTGTCTGGCGTCGTGGTGGCGTCGGCGGCAGCGAGACCGAGCAAGACAGTTACAACAGTACAGCTCTGAAGATGGATATGTGGTAGGTGATTGTGGCGGCCTCATACCCGGCGGGCGGCTTGGTTGAGGAGCACGCCGGACTGGTGGGTGCCCATACCCGGCAGGCGTCCAGGTTGGGACCACAGATCTTAGATGTTAGGTTTGGCTGCGAGGTCTGCTTGGTATTAGGCCCAAACCATCAGCGCCCCTTCATCAGTTAGATAGGAGTAGCGACAGAGGTTGCGAAGATGGTGGCTTTGATCTTACTGTTGTACAACTTTATAAGGTTTTGTGC